CTCTCTCTCTCTCTCTCTCACCTTGACGGGGGTTCCAGGGCCGCTCAGGCTGGGCAGGACTCCGGGGATCTCTGGCACACCCCATAAACCCAGGCATGCCGCTCTACGAAGGGAACTGAACACAATCCAACCAAGTCACAGGCACTCAAAGTCACTCACACCAGCAGCTGCAGTCCTCTTCCACAGATAATGTTTTTTTAACTGAATCAAGACCAGAGGGAACGACGACCCCCCTACCAAGTAATGCTCTCTACTAGAGAGACGTGTCAATAACTACAGAGGACTTCCATTCACAGTGGTAATGGCCCAAGCGAGATGCACTCTAGCAGACGACATAGAGAGCGGAAAGAAAGTCATTTGTTTAGGCCTGAGAAGCCAAATTATACAACCACAAATCCAAGCCAACTGGGACCCGTTTTATAACAACAGAACAGTTACAAAATATTGTTTCTCAAGCTTCACTATATTCAACGATGTGGAGCTAACTGTCGTTTGTTCGTTTATTTGTTTGAATAAAGGAAAGCGTATCGACACGACAACGGTCGTTTAGTGTAGGGGGGAAAAGGACATAGAGACCTAAACAGAGGGAAACAAAAGAAGTAGGCCATACCAGTGGCGCCCTCCAACCACCCGCAAGGCTGTCGTAATCGACTTATCGCGCTTTCGATACGTTAGTTCAGATTGCTATGTTACGCAATGTTGGAACATTTCAGAACAATCAAGAAAATCGCACAAAAACAACAGTCACATTACAATGAGAACCTCTCAATACCCCTTTAAAATAGCACGATATATTCTTCTCCAGAACGGGATGCTTTGGTTCGCAGAGCTAGAAACAAAGAGAGCTATCGCTACTATACACGACAGACCGACACGAATATTGCAAGAGGAAAAAAAAAGGCAACTGATACGCACAAGTGCTATTTACGGTATTTGAGGAGACACATACGGTCAAGAATCGAATCAAACGCGAAAACAAAAAACCAACCCAAAAAAAAAGGCACAAAACTAAACGAAGGGAAGAACAAAATCTCTGAAATGAAGCACGCGTAACGACTAAAAAAGTGTGCAAAGTATAACGGATGCAGAAATGTACACAACGGCGCACCAAGTCTGAAGAGAGCAGTAAGTAAGTACAACAACCGCTGTGCAGAGAAGTAGGCACATAACAAAAGGTATCAGGAACGCCGTAGGTATCACGGGTTATGTCGATCCTGCCAGATCATGGCGCCAAACACGCTCCAGGCTCGCCAGGGCGGCACACGTCCTCTGATCTTGTCGTCATCGACCACAGGTGTTCACGACCGGGCCCTCCCGAGGCGCGCGCAAGCAGGTAAACGGCAGGTGGCCCGGGGGGTGGG